GTTGTCAAGTCACCAATTATAATCAAGTTATCAACAAGATGTAAGACTGCTATTGTTGAATGAAACATAATCCTCCTATTACCAACCAGTCCAAATATTTCTTATTCTCCATAACAAAATGTCATGTAAATGTTGGATATAATGCGGATCTGCTCATTTTTCAAGGCTCTCCTTTTATTTTCTTCCGCACATTAGAAAATTGTGTACACCTCTGCTTGAAAATCTGAGGCATACTTCCACAATGAGTAGCTGAGGCTAATCTCCGGATGTTTGGCGTATAAATACTCCTGCTCCTGACCCATTTGCAGTCTTGAACCCGTCTGTATACCGGATCTTTCTCTGCAGTATGGTGATGAGTTCTCCATCATCCATTCAGATCCGTCTGGTATGGACATTCTGAATGAAGTATCAAGTGTTAGAGGTTAGGTTGATGTAAGAATGTTTCTTTAAAAGGTCGATCATACAAAATTGGTCTAAAAATCTCCGATGTAAATTAAAATTCAGTGCCTATCACCATTTTTTCTGCAGTTTAGTGTTGAGTCCTATTTATCCCTGAATATGAAAATATTATGTATTCATATATGACATACTAGGAGACCTCGCAAACGTTGTTTGAAATAACCCTATCAAACCAGGTATCGATGAATTCGTTTTGACAATCCCTAACCGATTATGGAATACAATACCCTGTATTGTAAAGTTGGGGTCGTTTCCAGTAAAACCGATAGTGATAGAACAAAAATTGTTTCGTCAATTAATGAGCAATTTGGTTTACTAGCTGCCCACCAATTTTCAAAACCCTATCTCGAATAATTCGAAAGGTACAGTCCTGGCCGTTTTTTGTGCACTTCTCTGTATATGGTATTTGTTATTGAATTGATAAAATGATAAAACAAGAATTATGTCACAGCCAGAAGGATTTTTTCATTGAGGATTTGTGGATTCAATAATTATCATTTTCAATAAGGTACAGTATATCTCCTCTTCGTTGAATCCATGCCAAGAATGCTATTACATGAGGAAACTCATTCACATTTCATTTGCTGAGAATTTTGTCACAATTTCTAAAAGTGAGGTTACCAACATATTTGAATTGAGACACATTTTAGCTACACCAATATCAAAATTGATCAATGAATCTTTCATAAAAGAAAGTTTCCCACACGAATTGAAACATGCATCAGTAAGAGCTATTTACAAAAATGGAAATGCTCAGGATCCAACTAACTATAGACCAATAGCTTTAATAAGCATATTTTCTAAAATTTTTGAAAAAATTCTCAAGAAACGCATTGTAGAATTCATCAACAAAAAATATAGCTCTGATTCTAATCAATTTGGTTTTCAAGAAAACAGTGGAAGTAGTGGAACACAAGCAGCAGTATTACAAGTGATAGAATCAATCCAGAGAGGACTTGATTCAGGAAATTATGTGGTAGCTGTTTTCATTGATCTCAAAAAGGCTTTTGACACAGTTGATCATACAACACTTTTAGAAAACTTAGAAACAACGGGACTCAGAGGCACTGTGAGAAATATTTTGAATTCATATCTTGAAAATAGGACAATTAATACAAAATCAACAAACTCTGTGTCAAATAAACTATTAATCAATAAGGGTGTCCCACAGGGCTCTGTTTTAGGACCTATACTATATTTACTTTATGTTCATATCAGTGAAATTGGTCTCACGAGTAAATATACCATGTATGCAGATGATACAGTACTTTTATATGAAGGCAAGAATCCTTCAAATTTAGAAAATATGGTAAATGAAAACTTGAAAATATTTGAAAAATGGCTCCACTCTAACCTTTTATCGATAAATACTAAAAAAACAAAAGATATGATTTTTCACCAAAAAAATAAACAAAAAATTTACCTCAACCTTAAAATGAAAAATGAACTCTTAAAACAAACTGACCAGATAAAATATCTTGGAATTTGGTTTGATGACAGGTTGAAGTGGGACAAACAAATTGATGTTCTGACAAAAAAAATATCTCCAATTATTGGTGCATTGAGAAGATGTCCCAAACTTGATATTAAAATTGCAAACATGATTCTCTACTCTCATATACTGAGTCGTATCAACTATTCAATAAATGTTTGGGGAACTTGTTCAAAGAACAATTTCAATAAAATATCAACATTATATAGAAAATCGTTAAAAGTATTGTATCGTCTCCCATTTGATACACCAACCAATCAATTGATTGAAATAACAAATACGTATTCTTTAGATGAAATATATAGAATTGAAACTCTCAAAATATCATATAATATCATAAATAAAAAATTGAAGTCGAATTTTATGTTGATACGGAATTCTGAAATTCATAATCATGAAACAAGACAATATAACTTGTTTCATCTTGACGCCGCTAGCTCCATTATCGGACAAAAAAGATTCACTCATTCAGCCTTAATTGAATTCAATAAACTACCTGACAATATAAAAAATTGCAGAAATATAGGTTCATTCAAAAATAAAGTGAGCGAACTGGATAAAATTGAACATGCCATTTTTTTTTTTACAAATATTATTCTTTGTTTGTCAATTTACAGTTGTTGATATATTTTGTATAATGATATGTTCACCTATAGGTATATAATTATGTACAGGGTGGCTGGAATTCGAGCCTCATCATTGGGATCTCGTAAACCGTAAGAGATACAGGGTCGGTTTAATCATGGCAAAGTTGCGCAATTTGATGCTCAACAAAATGCCGCTCTGAAACTTGGAAAATTCCGAATACTTTCGGAGATATCCGAAAAAAATCGAAATTTGATAATATCGTTTCTATTTTTTTCTTGCGTTATTAGAAGAAATCAATCGATATGAATAACACTTTATCGAGGCCACTTTTTCTTTCCTACAACATGGCGTTATCGAATTTGAAATCTGACGTTTCGTCTTTCAGAAACCATCATCAACTTACTTTTTTTAAATACGGACCTGGATTTTTTATTTCATTTTTCGTTACCTTCAGATAGCCCAAAAACTATGAGCTATCACAAATTTCTATTTACAAATGTCTAAATGACTAACATTCACAGTTTCTCTATTTTTTCAAAATATTTTATCCGAAACTATTTTTGGAACATTATTATTCGAGTTATTATTCATCAGTAATATAACTGAGGGTGAAAAATTTGTGAACTAAGTAACTAAATTGTAATAAGAACAAAATGAAAATCTAAGAATGCTCGAATAGTCCCCCTTGCACCTCTTGGCATTTTCGTATGCGTCTTCGCAAATTGCCAGTAAGCGCGCGCTGGATCATTCCTTCTCTACCTCGTAGGGTTGTTATTTCAAACATTAAATTTTGTCGTAAAATATTTATGTCCCGTGGAATATCTTTAAATAAACGGTTTTTCAAATAACCTCATAAAAAGTAATCCAGCGGGGATAAATCGGGGCTTCTTGCAGGCCAGTGCACCACTCCTTGGTTTCCCATCCACTGATTGGGAAATGTTTCATTTAGATACTGAGTGACGGCCCTTCCATTGTGAGGTGGTGCGTCATCCTGTTGCCACCATAGTTGCTGGAGTATATTTAACGGCTCGTCTTCAAGAGCATCTAAATTTTGGATGAAATGAAGGTACCGAACACTATTTAAATTCCCATCATAAATGATTGGCCCCAAGATTATGTTTCGATACAGCCCCACCCAGACATTGAATGATGTCCGTCCCTGCCTTCGCACTTGCTGATTTTGGTGCGGATTTTCCACTGCATAATAATGCTCATTATTTCTGTTGAAAAGGCCTAATTCTAGCCTTCTTTCATTATCTCCTGGTCTTAGTTCTTGGCTGACATGTAATTTATAAGGATGATACCTATGATTTTTGAGAATCTTCTGAATTCGGCTTCTAGGCATATTCAATTCTAGAGCAAATTGTCGTGTGGAACCTCGGGGATTTTCCGTAACCTTCAAAATTTCTCGATCAAATTTATCGAAAATATAAATTATTTCTTTTCGAAACTTACCGCATTTATAACAGCTCCTTCATCTTCAGCTCCAAATTTTCCGCCATACGCATTTCGTGGCTTACTAAAACTACCATACAGATTCAAATTCTTGTCCAAATTATTGAAATACGTATAATGCGGTTGTGGTCGTTCGGGGTATTGCTGTAAATATCTCTCACATGAAATTTGCGAGTTTCTGTTAGCACTATAATAAATTCGGACCATATCACGTTTTTCTGAATTGGAAAACACCAGTTTTGATCGCGCAAATTATTCAAAACCTAGAACTGTCAAACTTTGACGAGTGGTTGTAACTTTTCATCTCTAAAAGCATAGCCGCCTTTTCCATTTTCGGTACCTAATTGCATTGAATATTTGGAAAAAATGAAGAAACTGTGAATTTTTGTCCTTGAAACATTTGAAAATCGAAATTTGTGATAGCTCATAGTTTTTGGGCTATCCGAAGGTGACAAAAAATGAAATAAAAAATCCAGGTCCGTATTTAAAAAAAGTAAGTTGATGATGGTTTCTGGAAGACGAAACGTCAGATTTCAAATTTGAAAACGCCATGTTGTAGGGAAGAAAAAGTGGCCTTGATAAAGTGTTATTCATATTGATTAATTTCTTCAAATAACGCCAGAAAAAAATGAAAACGATTTTATCGAATTTCGATTTTTTTCGGATATCTCCGAAAGTATTCGGAATTTTCCAAGTTTCAGAACGGCATTTTGTTAGGCATGAAATAGCGCAACTTTGCCATAATTTGACCGACCCTGTATCTCTCACGGTTCACGAGATCCCAATGATGAGGCTCGAATTCCAGCCACCCTGTACTTCCTTATACCAGAGCCTATTCTGTCTGGAAGTTATTCGTTCAATAAATAAATAAATAAATAAATAAATATCAAGAAAAAAAAACATGAAATTTCCGTTTTGCTGCACAACATTCTATTCTATTCCACAGGTTATCAACAAAACGCGCCCAATATTAGTATAGGTTATTATTATTATGTATGTTCCGCAGATGGCCGATCCGGACCCGGAGACGCTGCTGGAATGGCTGAACAGCGGCGTGGGCGAGGAGCGCGACATGCAGCTGATCGCGCTCGAGCAGCTCTGCATGCTGCTGCTCATGTCCGACAATGTCGACAGGTGCTTCGAGAGCTGCCCGCCGCGCACCTTCCTGCCCGCCCTCTGTCGCATTTTCTTGGACGAGCGGGCGCCCGAGAGCGTGCTGGAGGTGACTGCGCGCGCAGTCACTTACTATCTGGACGTGAGCGCGGAGTGTACGCGCCGGATCGTCGCTATCGACGGGGCCATCAAGGCCATTTGCAACAGGTTGGTATTGGTGCTAGGGTTGACTAGGGTCCCTTGATGGAAATTGACGTTAAAGTCTTCTTAACAGGGTACGGACAGATCCTCGTCTCCTCTCACTCTAAGGTGTTTGTGAAACAGTTATATAGTGCCATCCTTATTCAATTCTGGGGATATACACTAGATTTTTGACATTTGTTGTTTTTTAGGTTATATTGAGGTCACTGGCGTATCATATGTAAATTCCATATAGAATTCCTGATTCAACTATACCAAATAGATAAACAATCCTCTAGTTTTATAGTTTTAGAGTTTACTACTCCAGCATAATCTTTGCGAGGTATAGGGAACATATAATTTATACTGATAATGCTTAATATATTTCATCAAAAGAGACTAGACTGTATACCAGGGTTGACTGAATTGACTGAATGAATTCTGATTTCAAGCTGAGCAGTAGTTTATCTATGAGCTGAATGAGCTGAGCCTTATGATTGAGAAATGGTGAGAACCTGGATGTGGGTATCTCAACTACTGTACTCATGTCATGCGTGCTAAATATATTTTCGGAAATCCAACTATAGGTGAAGAATTTATGGAGTATGGAGTGACTGATATCACACTATGTACAAAAGTTTCGTCTAGGACGAAAAGTAGGCTAATAAAAATAATACGTAAAATGTGCAGGAAAATGAAGAATAGAATTTACTTTACCCCCATGTAATACATATGATTTTTCCGTCTCCCTTAAATACAAAGTCATTTTCAAATAATTCATTGATGAAAGTAACAAAGAAGTAGAGGTATACAGAGTTATAACTTATAGGCACGTTATTTTCACTCTTTTACATCCTACATATTCACAATTTGTGATAGAGTAATAATTACATAAACTAATGTGAAAAGTGCAGATTTGAGCAGTGGTTATTTGAATAACATTAGAAGTGAGATCTGGATCCCATGCAGTTTTCGTGATATTTTCATAAAAAACATTATTATACAGAATTCGTACTTGGCTGATTACAATAAAAAATTTCATTAAGTTCAGTGATCCACAATTGGGTTCGAAATGTTTTGCTATTTTGTGAGAGATTGCTGCATATACCATTCAGCGATATTCTTCCAAGCAAGAATGTCTCCTCCAGAATTTGCAAGTAAACTTGAATTGGGGTTGACTAGGGTCCCTTGATGGAAATTGACGTTGAAGTCATCTTAACAGGGTACGGACAGATCATAGCTGCATTCTTTTTCAATAATCTAGAGACTTGAGTTTTGTCTACTGGCATCCCTGACATTGCTGTCACGTCACATCCATGGGCGCTATAGAAAATCATTCAAAATTTCAATAATATGTATGTACAGGGTATTTACTTGTTGAGGAAGATCATATGGCGAACGAGTTTTGTAATTATGATCCGATTCTATTCAAAATTGGAAGGTATCTGGGGTTTTATATAATAATTACTCTATCACAAATTGAAAATATGTAGGATTCCAGAGTATATATGATCAATTCTTTATGATCTATATCTTCCCATATACCATTATCACTGAATGTCATTTTATCATATTTCATTTTACCTTTGCTGAATATAAGAAAGTCTTTTGGATAATGGCTCAGCTACATCTTCCTCCTCATCATCACGAGGTGGCTTGAAGATAACATGGAAACCTAATCTGAACTCTATTTTATGTCCATGACCTATTTTGTACACCTTATCCTTATCCATCTATGTGAAAATAACGTGGCTATAAGTTATACTGTATACTTCTTTGTTACTTTCATCAATAAATTATTTGAAATAAATGACTTTTTATCTAAGGGAGACGCACATTTTTCGTATTACTTTTTATATCAGCCTACTTTTCGTCCTAGACGAAGTTTTATACATAGTGTGATGACGTCACTCCATGAATTCTTCTCCGAGTTGGATTTCCGAAAATATATTTAGCACACATGACATGAGTACAGTAGTTTAGATACCCACATCGAAGGTTTCACCATTTCTCAATCATAAGACTCAGCTCATTCAGCTCATAGATAAACTACTGCTCAGCTTGAAATCAGAATTCTAAGAACAGTCTATTTTGGTGAAATATATTATATTCTAAATTATGACAGGATGTGGGCATGCCGTTATCAAAGAAAATGAAAGAGATAGCCAAACTTCTTTTCTATTTTTGAAATTCTGAGAACAGATTAAAATGATTAGAGCCGCTGGTATCCGAGAGGTATCTTTATATTTTTATAGCTATTGAGATTCACGAATGCGGGAAAATTCAACACACTCTACCTGCATAGACTAACTAACTAACCTGTATGTGTATTAATTATGTCTCTTCATCAGGTTGGTGGTTGTGGAGCTGTCTTCAAGAACAAGCAAGGATTTGGCTGAGCAGTGTGTTAAGGTAAAATATGATTATATATTACATATCTTTTTAACCATATATGTAATGTTGTCATTACCAACGTCATTGAAGGTTGGGAAGTGTCACATTACACACCTCTACTTCCCTTCCTCACTTCCAGCCCTCACTTTCAGCCCTCACTTATGTAATATTTTAGGTATGTTCAGAACGGAACAGAGATGTATTTTGATCGAAATATGATGGTTGTAAATAAAGTCATAGCTAACCTCGACGCTTTGCGCCTCGGTCTAATATACTATTATTTTGTACGTTTCACTTCTCTTCAAATGGACATCCTTCAAGATATGACATACTAAGATCTGTGAGTTCTCCACGATTGTTTCTTTATCTGGTGACTGGTGAGGTAAATTGTTTTTTTTTTTTCATAATCATTTGTCACCTCTTCGGTAGAAGTGAATCATTCTTGCTATCGGTGTATCACGTTCTGAATGACTAATCTGCCTATCAATGACTATTCCACTGCATTCATTGATAGATTAAATTAATCACATAGGAAGAATATTCGTTCAAGATATTTATCTCATACAAGATATTTTTCTCATACAAGATTTCCAGAAATGGCACTCAAATCTAGGTATTTATCAATAATGAGTTGTCTTATGCTGTGAGGGCTAAATTATTGTCCACCACATCGCGCTACTGAAACGTGAGGTCAGAGTTGGTAGAACTGATAAATATACTCTTTCGTTTCGAGTCATTTTGCCTCTTCCTATGATATCTTCTTCATCATATGATGTCATAGCCATTTCCACATCACCTTATTTTGTACTTTTACTGATGATGACCATTTGAAGGGTCGAAACATGTCTCAACAGTAAAAAGCACATTTACCTGCACACATCGCCATTAAACTTGTGGAGACGACTTTGAGTTTTTTCTCTTTGATTGAAATATATTGTTAGTGGTGACAAAAATGTAATATACCTGGACCTGGACTTGTGTAATTCTTCACCACCTCGGTGTATAAATAACTATTATACATTAAATCTATCTAAACTGCCCCACATTTGGAGTGAGACAAGCAAAAATGTCTTATCATTTTCAAACCGTCATAACTTTGGATTGGATGAACCAATTTTCAATTTATTTCCTTTTTCTACATGACCTACAGGGTGATATTTGAAAATGTGATAATTTTCGAAAAGTTTGGGATCACCCGTATCACCGGGATTTTTTTATGGCTTATTGAGGGCGATAAAATGATGGACAATGAGTTTTCCCGAAATAGTTTTGAATTCAAGAGGATTCATACAGGATGTTTGTTTGTATGGAATATTTCACATTATATTGCAATTTTCGGCAAGTTTGAGATCGCCCCATTTGGCAGGGATTTTTATTATGTTTCATTGAGGACGATAAGATGAAGCATAATGAGTTTTCTCGAAATTCTTTCCGATTCAGGAAGATCCATACAGGATGTTGTGACATATGGAATTTTTCACAATATATTGCATTCTGATGTTCAACCAACATAAACTCAACTTCAACAGAACTTCAGATTAGTTTCTCCTGCTCAACGCTATACAATGTGTTGTACATTTTCAAACATACCGGGTATCATCGAATTTTTCAGACAAACCATGGTTTTCAGATTTCCAGAGGTATGAGATTCGAATTTGGCAGGGGTGTAGAATTCGAGAATTGGTCAATTTTTCGAAAGTCCATTCTCTCCCATTGTTTCATGATTCGAGATATGAATAAATTAGTGGACTGTATGGTTTAAAAATTCATCGAAATCACAGAGCGGTCTATAAAGGCCACTTACCCATGATGTCTTCTTGCCACGCCAAATTCGTATAATTTGCAGTCTTGGAGATGGTACCATCGACGACCCACATCTGATACCCAGAACAGGACACTATGATTGCACTATATTGTTTTTCGTCTAATTGTTCATTATAGGAAGGAATTTAACTTTTGTTGGAGATTCACCGGTGTAATTAAAAACACGTGTATAGCTCTCAGAGAGTCATTAGAGAGAGAGAGTCATGGTTTTCGTGGTACTACGTCCTCGTGATTCTCTCCTTTGGAGAGGGGAAAGGATCCATGTGCCCCTAAGTATAGTGGCCAATAGATACTCTGTGATTGAATACGCGCGAAAAATTAGGATAAATATATGAGACTATCAACTAAGTCTTTTGGCAATTGTATAAACTTAAATATCTATTCATCAAATACTGGCTTGATGAAACATACCGCCCATCAAAAATTGTAAAAAATTTTTAAAAAATAAACTTGAGAAACAAAAAAAACAAAAAATAAATCAATTTCTTTGCCTTGAGCAAAACATTATGACATAAACATTAATGATTATCGGAAAGAGGGAGCGGACATACTTTATGTACCGGACGTTTGAAGGTACCCTTTGTGGTTTTTACTGAAACAACTCTAGTAATACCATCAGCTCCAGTATGTAACTCTGTTACTCGTCCCATGTTCCACTTTAAAGGCGGTGATAGATCGTCTTTCAAGAGAACCAATGTACCTTATTCGATGGGGACTGCGGAATCAGTCCATTTTGAACGCTGCAAGAGCGTATGGAGGTATTCGCGATGCCATCTTGCCCAAAAATCCTGTTGGATTCGCTGGACAAGCTGCCATCTCGAGAGCCTACCAATGTTTAAATCTGTCAGATTATGCTCGGGTAAGGAGTTGAGAGGTGCCAATGTTAGGAAGTGGCCAGGTGTGAGCACATTAAGATCATTAGGATCAGAGCTCATAGGGCTTAAGGGACGAGAATTAAGAATAGATTCAATCTGGATCATCACAGTGTTGAGTTCCTCATAGGAAAGAATCTGATCCCCAACAACACGAATCAAGTGTTTCTTAACCGCCTTTATACCAGCTTCCCAGAGTCCTCCAAAGTTTGGGGAAATGGGAGGGATAGTGTGAAACTCAATATACTCAGTTTCAGCAGCTACGCGCATGAGGTCAGAAAGTTTATTAGCAGCTCCAACAAACACGGTCCCTTGGTCACTATAAATATGATTACATTGGCCCCGTCGTGCGATGAAACGTCGGAGAGCGGCAAGAAAAGTATCGGACGTCATGTCGGTAGTGAGTTCCAAATGAATGGCCTTAGTCACCATACAGATAAAGAGACATAGGTAAGACTTTAAAACCTTAGCACCCCTAATACGACCCATTGTTACAGGAAAGGGGCCCCCATAATCGATTCCAACTCTGGAAAAGGGTTTTACCTGAGATAATCGGACAGATGGGAGGTTTCCCATTAAGGGTTGACGAGAAATGGGATTGACACGAAAACATCGTATGCATTGAGAAAGAATTTTACGAATCGTTCGTTTTGGGGATAAAATCCAGTATCTTTTGGACTAACAGGTTTTGAAGGGTTTGCAAACCTGGGTGCAGATATTTATTATGGGTATAGTCTATGACCAAATGAGTGAATCTATGATTGCTTGGGAGGAGAACAGGATGTTTGTGTTGAAAAGTCATATGAGGAGCGTGGACTAAACGACCGCCCACCCTTAGGACACCCTGGTCATCAAGGAAGGGGTTTAATTTACGCAAATATTTTGGTAGAGGTCGTTTTCGATTCAATAAATCGATTTCCTTAGAAAAAGCAATATTTTGGGTATATTGAATGAGAATAAGACAAGCCCGTTCTAATTCTACTGAAGAGATAGGTCCATATGTCCGAGCCACTTGGTTGAGACAATTATGTGAGAAGCGAAGAATGTAGACAATAATTCTTTGGATTTTTCTGAACGATGAATGATTGTCCAAGAGATTTTGAAGTGGGTGACTTTCTATAGAAACATTCAGTACTACTTTACGTTGTTCTTCATCAGTGGTGAAAGAATAATAATAAGACTCATCAAAAATATGGGGTGGCCAATAGGATGTGGGGAGTTTCAACCAGGAAGGCCCCGCCCACCATATGGATTTTGAGAGAAGTGCCGAAGGAGTTAAACCTCTGGATGCGGGATCGGCGGGGTTATCTCCTGTAGAAACATGATGCCATAACGAAGGAGGAACCTTTTCTTGAATATCAGTGACCCGGTTGGCGACAAAACAAGTTCTATTATGAGGACTACTTCTGAGCCATGCGAGTACTGTTGTGGAGTCTGAGTAGGCGAAGATTTTTTCCAGTTGGAATTTTCCGGCATACGTGGACTGAACGAAAGTGAGTAAATCAGCGAGAAGCTGAGCGGCACATAGCTCTAAACGTGGAATAGATATTCTTTTTAACGGAGATACTCTGGACTTGGCACAAAGAAAGTGAGTAGAAATAACTTCATTTTCAGATATAACTCTGAGATATGAGACAGCAGCATAGCCCACCTCACTGGCGTCGCAAAATCCATGGAGTTGAATAGACAATACTGGCTGCGAAAATAAAGGTCGGGGAACGTGAACTGAAGATAAAGTAATCATGTCCGATTTCAGTTCAGACCATAGTTGAGCAATATATGGTGGTGGAGAGGAATCCCAGTCGAGACCGAGAGTCCATAAAGATTGGAGGAGATGTTTTATAAGCAGAACCACCGGAGTGAGAAACCCCAAAGGGTCAAATATGCGAGCCAACTCAGACAAAATATTACGTTTTGTACACAATTCATGTAAAGGAGTAACTTGATAAGAGAATGAGTCAGTGGAAGGGTTCCACTGGAGACCTAAAATTTTAATCACTTGATTGGGTTCAAGGTCAAGTTTTAAAGGATCGATTTGGAGTGAAGATTCAGGCAAATGAGAGAGAAATATGGAATTGTTGCTAGCCCACTTGTGCAATTCGAAACCTGCTCGGCTCATTACTTCGAGTAAATCAGCTTGCAATTGAAGTGCCTCTGACAATGAGTTACTACCAGTCACTATATCATCAACAAATGTATCATTTGAAAGAACCTCACAAGCGATAGGAAATTCTTTCGAATGTTCCTTGGCTAGTTGAAGAATTGTACGAATAGCTAAAAATGGCGAACTCGTGACCCCAAATGTGACAGTACGTAAACGAT